TTTACCACCGAGAAGAGTAGAACAAACTGACGAGGAGGAGCCAGTTGAGTCAGCTTAAGTAGGTCTCCCGCTGATTGCTCGCAGATGAGGCTCAGGTGAAGCACTGAAGTCTCCGCCCCCAAGGGATGGCTCAGCAGCCACAGAAGGAAAACCCCTCCAGGTACTCCCACAGACCATGACACATCCAGCCTTTCTAGCTTAAAAAAAACCCAAAAAAAAGAATTTTAATAACAATTAAATTAAATTTTTTTGCTATTTTCAAGATGAATCCAAAGAAAAACATCCTGAAGACAGTTGATTTGCACAAATATCCTGTTTTATCCGCCCAACAGGCCAAAAAATTCAAATATACTGTTTAAAGTAAGGTAAGAGCAGGGAAAGCAACATGTTCTCATATTTTAAAACCATAATGCAAATGTTGGTTTATGGTTGGATATTTCCTTTAAAAAATACTTAAGTGGTTATTCAATGACAATATCAGAATATATCCATCGTTCCATATAACTGCTTATCCCTTACAAAGACTCTCCAAGCTGACTTTGGACATAAGGTGGGATAGATCTCAGGCAGTCCATGGGGAACTCCTAAAGATATTTAGACTCACCAATTAAACCGAGCAGAAGTTCAAACCAGGAACCTTCTAGTCATGGTACTAACCACCTTGCAACATCAAAGAATGATCTGTTATTGTCTTTGTCATTGTTTTTGCATGTTTGCATATGATATCTTTGATATGTTCCCTGCAGCCTCTGGAAGATGCATCACAGACAGTATACATCTGTGAGCCGCACTGATGAAATCCCCATGAAGACCGAAAATGGACCCCGACCCAACAAATACCGCTACGTACGTAAAGAAGGCAGCTCTAACATCATGTTGCGCCACGTTCCTGAGGAGAGGCTGCTCTTTGTGACCGACATCTTTACCACCTTGGTGGAGATCAGATGGAGGGTGATGTTTCTGATCTTTGCTCTCTCTTACATTCTGTCCTGGCTCTTTTTTGGGATCCTCTTCTGGGTCATCGCTCTCGCTAATGGAGACATCAAGGATCCCAACACTGAACCCTGCGTGTTTGAAGTCCGCAGCTTCACGGCCGCTTTCCTCTTCTCGCTCGAAACTCAGACCACCATCGGTTACGGATTCAGAGGAATGTCTGAGAACTGCATGCATGCCATCATCATCGTCACCATACAAGACGTCATGAGCTGCTTCATTGATACGTTCGTCATTGGAATTGCTGTTGCCAAAATGGCCTCGGCCAGAAAGAGGGCGCAGACGGTGGGCTTCAGCAACCGTGCTGTCATCAACCTTCGTAATGGGTACATTTATCTGTCCTGGAGAGTTGGGGACTTCCGCAGGTACCACTTGGTGGAGGGGACAGCTACCGCCCAGATAGTCCGCAGTACGATGCACGCCACTGGGAGAGTTGATGTGACTTATGAAGACTTGGTCATCCAGCAGAAGGACATCATCCTCGCCACACCAACCACCATCTATCACAAGATTGAACCTGGCAGCCCGCTGTACACCATGACTTATGCTGATCTGCAGAGAGCAGACTTTGAACTGGTTGTGTCATTTACCTACACAGATGACTCCACAGGCATTCTGCATCAGACGCGAACCTCTTACACTCCAAAAGAGATCCTCTGGGGTCAGCTGTTCCAGGAGATGATCAGAGTCGGCAGGAAGAGCTACAGGGTGGATTACAACTTGTTCCATCGCACTGAAAAGATACACGTCCCCCTGGTTAGCGCTAAGGAGTTTGAAGAGAAGAAGCAGCTGCAGCTCACACGACACTCACCTCGACATTCACCCAGCTCTTCACCACGGCTCCCTTCACAATCGCCATCTCAGGATCACCGTGATAAATATTTGAAACCCCCGATGGTAAAGGTGGAACTTGTGAGTGACAGCCAACCTATACCAAGTGTTGCACCATCTCAATCAGACGATAGTCAGGATCAAGAAACTCTGACTCAGCCAAATAATCAGACAAGTGAAGAAAATTGAAAGCAAAGCTGTGAAATTCGATTTCATCAAAGAATCCTGCAATGGTGTTCAAGATGGGACAAAGTTTGAGCTTGTGCAAAAATAATTGCTTGAGAAATTGATAGTTTCAAATATAGACAGGCTTTTGGGAATATCACTTGACTTTACAAAAGTAGGTGACGATAGCCGGTATGAAGATCCAGATTCTGAAGTTCTAACCTCACAGAAGCTTGATAAACCCTTTGCTTTATGTACAAGCAGCTGGACGGTCCTTGTGGCAGATAACACAGTTAAAATACCCAGTATTGTTCTAACTTTTGTTGAGGCCTCCCAATATAAGACCTCACATCTTCCCCATTGAGCATGGCTTGGTACATCTTAATTTTATTTGTTTTAATATTTTGCAGGAAGATGGTAAATGGCCTGTATTTGTCCGTAAGGACCTCAAAGTGCTTCACACATCCAGTCATCCACCCATTCACACACTGGTGATGGTAGCTACATTGTAGCCACAGCCACCCTGGGGCGCACTGACAGAGGCGAGGCTGCCGGACACTGGCGCCACCGGGCCCTCTGACCACCACCAGTAGGCAACGGGTGAAGTGTCTTGCCCAAGGACACAACGACCGAGACTGTCCAAGCCAGGGCTGCAACCGGCAACCTTCCGATTACAAGACGAACTCCCAACTCTTGAGCCACGATCGCCCCCATGTGATCACCCCAGATGTCAGGGGATTAAAAATGACGAATGAAACTCAAAGGCTTTATTGGGCCAAGGAACTTCATAACTCATTTTTCCGACTTTTCAAGCCTACAGAAGACAAAAGATGATGTGTGGGTGTGTATTACTTTAACATTTAAATTCATATTTTGGGTCATTGGCCTCTTGGTGTTATAAAAACTGAGCTGATTGATGGTTCTTGCTGGAAAAATACAGGACAATGGACTGATGAACTTTCAGTAATAGCGGGGATACGCTTCAGTCCCCCTGAGACCAAAATTGTATAAACAGCAAAGAAATTTCATGAATGAAATGTACATCTTCCACTTTTGAACTAATGACTTTTACCGTTTCTGTGTCTAAACACGGGCACAACAATGCAGTGTAAACACAAACCCTCGTTTGGCTTATTGTCAAAATAATACTGATAGTACAGCACCTGAGCATCCAGTTTAGTACAACATTTTTACCGCTTATTAGGTGGAGTTCTTAAAACTAGAGTTCACAGGATCAGAACATTTATCTGAAAAACACTGGAGATGAGTTCATCCACGCTCGACTACACAACCAGGCTGCAATAACCACAAGCACGTAACTGTGATTACTGATTACCATGCTGACTGGATTGGGTTTAGCGGGTGTCACTCTGTGTTAAAAACACAAAGTTGTAAAACTTGCACTGAGAAATTTTTATGAAGCAAAAATAATCATATGTATGTGTCCTTAAGGTTAAAAAATGAGTAATTATGAGCCTGAGATAATCAAGAACAGCCTCTAAAGGGGAAAGCTATATGACTTTGACTCAAGAGGTCAAATATTTAATGTAAAGTTTAAAGTCTTGGCGTTGCTGATGGCAAATAAATTGAAGTCATGCAGGTGACTACAGTAACATCCCATATTATGATGTAAGTCAAAGTTTATATAACACACAGGGAATATGTTCTGTTCTTTTATGTTTGTGGTGGAGGAATCTTTGTTTAGTCATTTTAAATAAAACCTGCTCATCAAGCCATCTTTCTCTCTGTCTTGCACACACACAAACAAACGTTTTTATATCTTAATTAATTGACATAATGCTTCCCTAGCCGCTTACCCTAACCATCAAAAATGAATGCCTAACCCTAATCTTTAGCCTAAACCTAACCATAACCCAACTGTAACCCTGACACTAAAACCACATTTTGAGCCTCAAAAATGCTTCAAATTTTCTTCATTTTTGTTACATCTGAAAAAAATGCTAATTAAAAAAGGCTACCATTGTCAAAGATTTTAAAAAGTGATGCTTACATGTATGGTTTGTGTATCAACTTTGATGATCATCCCTAAGATGGATCATGGTTTGTGTCTGAGAACAAAAGCTTTGATCGGGAAAGTCACTTTCATGTGAAGTAACCAGACAGACAACGATAACCAGATGCTCCTGCCCCACACGCTGCTTTGTGGCTTTGATTTGCACCGCTGCAGAAGCCCATTAAAAACATGTATTCTTTTTCATCATGTATGTAAAACTGGTCAGTTCCAAGTGCTTGATGTTGTTCAGGACATGGTGATGTTGCATGTTGCTTTAACGGTAACGTCTTCCCGTCAGGCAACTTAATCCGACCAGCCTGGGCATGCTCTCAGCGGGCCTGATGATGCACCGTTCACCTGTAACTCTTCACCTTTTGTTTGCTGATGTCTTCAGACAGTTTGTAGCTTGCACGGAGCTCTTCAGCTCTTCTTGGAAAGCTTTCTGAAGATACCGTGGAGATTTTCACTCAGATTTTTAGAAGAACATTCTTGAGGTCAGATGCTGATGTTGGACAAAAGGGCCGGGCTTGCAGTTTTCATGCTGATTCATCTCAAAGGTGTTTGATATGGTTGTGGTCTGTGTGGGCCAGTCAAGTTCTTCCACACTATACTCATCCAACCATATCACTATGGAGCTTGAATTGTGCACTAAAAAAGAACAGTCTTCCCCAAGCTAAAGCACAGGATTGTCCAGATGACCGAATTCACCCACTGGCCGGTCTTTTTAAACATCTATTTACAGAGGCAGTGATTTTTTCCCCTTGAAACAAAACAAGTACAACTGAAATAACGTCACAAACTTTCAGTAACACTTCACGCTGATCCCTTCATGATGAAACAGAACTTTTGGCGGCAGCTGCTTGTAAATAAAGCCTGACTTCACATTTGGAAGCTCATCTGCAACTGAAGCAAAGTTTGTTTTCAGATGAACGGCGTCATCCCACAGAGGCCCCCAGGACGGCCACAGTTTAGTTTTTACAGGCCTGTCTGACCCTCTCTGCCTTATGATCACCGCTGACCTCACTGCATAAGGACATTTGATTGGCTTGTTATTAGAATAGCTAAACATACACTGTTACTACAGTGAAACCAATGAGTCACTAATTTCATGGCTTTTAATGATCCTTGATGTCGACACAATACACAGAGTACCTTGAAAGCCACATTCTTGTTTTAAAGGAGGGACTACAGAGAATTATAATTCTCAGCATCAAGAGAAAGTCCAAGTAAATTTGTAGTGTTGCTGACGAGCGGCGCGTGCGGAAGTTGGTCAATGTGAAGAGCAACATGAACAACTTGGACAGAGGCCTAAAAACATCTATAATTACTTTCTGAAGTGTCAGCTGTGCAGCATCTGACAACTCCAGCCACACCCATCACTCGCTGTATAGATGCCGCAGCGCCATAAAGATGTGATGCATCATTCATAAGTTCGAGTTGTATACAGGTGCACCATCTTCCAATGGCGATAATGAATAATGCAGACTTTATGCTACTACCTGCAGAAAGAAGCAGGAGAACATAGAGGAATCTAGTCTGTAAGTGGAGATTAATTTTGAGAAATATAAAGAACTTAAATCATGTAATATGAGCAGAGGTGTTTCCAGGATTTTACAAATGGGGTGGCACGTGCCCCCCAGAAGGGTTACATCAGAAAATTATATCAGAAATAAACACCAAACAAAATCAATTGAATACTGGTTGACATTCTGCTTCTATAAACATGTGAGAGTCAATTTAAAATATCTATTTTAATATCTGTATAGCAACAAAGCACAACAACATTTGCCTAAGGACCCTACAATAATACAGAGAAAACAGAAAGACCCCAACAATCAGACGAACCCCTATGAGCTAGCACTCTGCTGACAGTGGGAAGGAAAAACTCCCTTTTTACAGGAGGAAACCTCTAATAATAATAATAACAATAATGCATTTTATTTGAGGGTGCCTTTCTAAAACCCAAGGTCACCTTACAAAGAGAAAAAGATATCAATAAAAAAGTAGATTAAAATAAATTAAAATGCAAAAACAACAACAAATAAAAACAAAAAAACAAATAAACAAGATTTGACAGCAAGTAGGATCTGTGTTAAAGCGAGTAACCCAGTTTAAACAAGTAGATTTTGAGCTGTGACTTAACAAATATAGATTCCCTTCTCTTATTTAAGTTGGAAGGAAGTGAGCTCCAGAGCCGAGGAGCAGAGCGACTGAAAGCTCTGTGCCCCACAGTGATGAGACGAGCAGAAGGAACAACAAGATGAGTGGTAGATGAAGATCTGAGAGAGCGGGAAACTGTGGTGATATGAAGCAGATCACAGAGATAAGGAGGGTCAAGGTTATGAATGCACTTAAACGTGAGAACTAAGATTTTAAAGTTTATCCTGGCTTCTACGGGCAACCAGTGAAGCTGTTGAAGAATTGGTAATATGGTCTCTTAAGGGAGTACGAGTTATGACCCGAGCTGCAGAATTCTGAAGAAGCTGAAGTTTGTGGACTTATTGGGGAGAGCAAACAAGAGGGAGCTGCAATAATCGATCCAGGAAGTAATAAGACTGGACAAAGATTGCAGAAGCATGGGGAGTAAGGAAGGGACGAAGTCGGTTAATGTTACGCAAGTGAAAGTATGCAGAGCGGGTTATGTAATTAATGTGAGACTGAAATGAGAGAGTACAGTCAAGTATGACACCCAAACTCTTTACCTGTGGGGTAAATGATCTGATCTAATCTCCATAAGGCAGTTCGAGAGGAAGGTAGGTGGAAGGGATGAATTAGGTTTGGAGGAAATGTAGAGCTGGGTGTCATCAGCAACAACAATTAAATATTATATTTTCGGAACATATGGCCAAGAGGGAGCATGTCTGGCAGAATCAGGCCCCTCGTCCCCAACCACAACTGGCTGGGGATGAAGGGAAGAAGACTGGACAAAGACGGCCTGTGGAAGAGAGCAAAAGACTCAACTGTGAGTTACCCCCTTAATGTTTACCCAGTGTTTGGACTCTTACTGTGAAAATGATGTGAAACTAACAGATGACAGTGAAATAGATAAAACATGTGTATTACTCTCCATCACAGAACAGCTGCCGTGTGATAAATGTGTCTGAGTTTAAGGCTTTGTGCTTTGAAAATGTGTGTAATTTGATTCTAAATCAGCTGATAGCTTTTAAAATACAACAGCAGCAACTATTAAAGGATTAATGAGTCAAAAAAGGAAATTTGTTTGTGAGTAATTGAGTGTTTCTCCCACTTAAACACTGATCAGGCACAAAACTAAAGCCCAGAATATCATTTCTGCAGCACACCCTGACAGCGGGTGACTCCCCGGTCCTCTGAGGACCCACACTTCAGTCCCCTCCGCCACACATTTGTCAGTTAAATGATGTAGTTTTGATTTATTAAATCAATATATTTGGCTTCAATAAATCCAACATTTTATATTAATTTACTCAGCATCAATCAAACACCTCAGAGCAACAAAATGTTGGTAAAGTCTAAAGCGCTGTCAAAGTAAACGTATATGAGAAGAAAGTACGTACAGTACTGTGCAAAAATCTTGAGCCACGCTTCATTTCTTTATATTTTGTTAAGCGATCTTGGGCAATAGTTTTCCAGGCTTTCTGAAAGTCTTTCAAAGTTGTTTATGTATTGTTTATGTCCCTGGGCTTAACCAGTGTTATACCCATAAGGGACAACTTAGCAAAGAACCAATTTGTTCCTGCTTTGTTGCCAACAGAAAGCCGTCTCAGTAAGTTCAGACTGTGTTGAAGAATGAAGTTACTCATACCAAATGTTGACTTTCAATCTCATTAGGCTTGTAGAAAACTCTGTTTACTGTATTTCCATTTATACTTGCACACTGTAATAAATCATTGCATCCATTTCCATAGCAAAAACAAATAAATGGGTGGTGCTAGCTAGCTAGCTAGATAGATAGATAGCCAGCCTTTATTGTCACTTTAATTTAATTACCTCTATTTTTATCTTAAACCTAACACTAAAGACTGCTGGCTCCCATGGCTTTTAGTTTTTTAGAGTTTGCACCTTCTAAAATATGTTCAAACGTGTGTTTGCGCTCTGGTGGACAACAGACCACACGCCTGTGCTAGCTGAACCAGGGAGGACCGCCACAGCTTGAATGAAGACACTTGTATCCAACTGGGCATTTTCTTTGTCACATATAGCCCCGTCATGATGCCTTCAGCTTCCATGTATGTATTCTGTGTGATACAGACATAAATCTACTATTAAAAGATGAAATACATTATAAAGAATAGGTGAGATACAGCTAACAGTTGTTTTTGGACACAGAGGACTTGCTAACATCTGCTAAATGAAGCTAGACCATAACACTCCCCACCAAGTCTCAGCTATAGCACAGAGGCTAACAGTAGCTTGGCTAACAGTCAGTCTCTCTCTGTATAATCGCTTTAAGACAGCAAATTGGACCCAGAGTATACTGGAAAACAAAAAAACACAGCACTCATCACTCCTACAGAAATAAATATATTCAGATCTATATTTATACACATGCATTACTTACTCTTGGCATTAAGGATGCAAAAAAGCAGTTTTGCAAATGTTAGCTCTGAAGATGTGCAACCTTAGCAGCCCTCCAGCTTTTGTTCCCACTTGTGGTGGGTCCACATTAGGAAATATGATTAGAGACTATAATAGAGACACAAAGAGCAGAGTAAATATGAAGCCAGCAGCCATTTAGCTTACATCAGGAACACAACTGGAAAAAGGAGTTCATGAGAGCTGGCTTGACTCTGTCCACTGGTACCAAGACCAGCAGCTCCAAGATTAGCAATGAATTATATCATGTTTATTCTCTGCATAAAACAATTAGATGGTTTAAAGCGGGGATACTGTTCATGCTCGTTAGGATAACTGGTGAGTCTAAATTGGCTGTAGATGTGACCGCTGGTGAGCTGTCCAGGCTGTAGCCCTCCATTCACCCTCTCAGACTATTAGAGAGGCCAACAACAATCATTATTGGCCAGTGGCTCAGAAATCTCAGCGCCTTCTCAGTCCTGCATTAGTTTAAAAGGCTAAAAACACAAGCATTGGAGTGCAAAAGGCTGAAAAATCGAGTCTTTACTGATGTCAAAACGTTGTAATTAACATCAAGACTCTACCGTGTTTACATATTTCATCTGAATTCTCCAGACATTGGTGCTGCCACGACACAAAGCTGCGTGAAGAGGTCAGCCCGAGTTCCCCTCTGTCACATTACAGAGCTCTCTGTGTGGGAGGCACTCGCGTGGTTAATTCCAGTCTCCAGCTCTCCACCTTGTGGTCCACATGCAGCACCGACCCGCTGCATGTGTCGCTCCCTTTATTGCTGGAAATTGGGCATGGAAAGCAAACACACATAGGGCGCACAGCTCACTGACACAGGTGGTTTGGGCTAAATATATGCGCTGCTATAAATACCCAGAACTAAAAATAAAGCTAACAAAAGGCTTGGTGAAAAAGCACGCAGTTGCGGGTGATGTTTATCATGAATTAGTAAGCAGGAAGAATGATTTAGTCAATGGCTTTAAGGCAGCACAGCTACGAGCCTGACCTAAAATTATAGGGCAACAGATGCACAGTCTAAACATCCGAAGCAACTCGATAGCTCAGTGGAGAAAGACAGTCATATCATAATACAGGCATGTAGGCCTTTATTGAGTGAGTCATTCTTTCCAACAGAACACATTTTCCATACTCACATTAAAAAAGAAGATCTAAGAAAACAGCGAATATCACAGAAAAAAACAGAATGACAAGCAAACTGTCAGGAGCAGGTGGGAAGAGGCGTGGAAGTCCCAGATTCCTCGATTTTCTTCTGTTTGTGTTACCAGGATAAAGTAGTTGCACACCACCTTTAAATCATTTATCTTAGTCACAAACTTCCTCCAAATGTACCACGTGGACGTTTTGTTTTCTAGACCCATGAAAATAATATTTATATTTATGCCGCTTCGTGTTTGAACTTTTCGCCCTCACAAATCGTTTTTTATATTCATCGCGTCACTGCATCAGTTGCAGTGTAATTGCTCGCCATTCCTTCTTGTTGTGTCCGGTTCTCATCGCTCGCGTGGATCAAACGCTCCAAATGACAGAAAAAAAAACAGCGAGTTATTACGGCTCTACCACGGTGCGCGCTCGCCCCCCCCCTCCTCCCAGTCATTGGCCGGGCGCGGAGCCGGTGGGCGGGCCGTGCCGGTGCGCTACTGTTTAAAACGCTTTGGGGGAACTCAGTGCGAAGCACATAGTAGAGACCGGTCTTCCAGAGAGATGAGAGAAGGTTTGTGGTTTTATCCTGTTGATTCCAAAGTAATAATAATACAAAACTAAAAAAATAAGCAGACGCACGGAGACGACGCTGGTTGTAAAAGAACCCGCAAAAGCCCCCCAAAAAACCCAAGAGGAAGTCTGGATTACTATTTCACCGAGGTGATTCCAACCGGTCTACAAATGAGCAACAGGTAGATGAGACGATATTTTCTTTTAAGTCGTTCCTTGTACAGATCTACTGCTCTTGCGCTTTAATGTAAGATGTTGTGCTTTATTTGGGTGCTTTACGCACGTCTGAGGAGCGTGTGTGATGGTTTGATTCTCCACACGCAAGCTCCCTGGCTTCTCTGTTGTCACAGAAGTCAGATGGCCCGCCAAAAGTTTGACTTTATCGTGTCATAACCGCTTCAAGCTGCATACTGAGGTGTGATGCCTGCGGTTGAAGCGAAACCTGCGGGTCTGTGTCAGTCTGAGGGTCTGTCCGTGTCTGTGCGGGTGATTGCATCAGAAGGCAGCTCCTTTTTTCCCCCTCGCACCTGTTAACATTTGTCGCTGGCATCTGGTGCAGTCTGAGAGCAGCTCTGCCCGCCTCTTTACGATTAGATACTCTATTAGCGACGTTTAAAAGGCTAAAAAGTGTATAAAGCAATAATAATAATAATAAAACAACAGTTTTGTTTTTGAGTTTACTTATTCAGGAAATGTTGTACGACTGTTTGTTTTTCTAAAATAGTTAAAAATTGTTAAAATTCGGTCGTTTTGAATGAGAAAAGGAAAACACACTGTATTCGTGCAGTATAAGTGCAGTACTGCGCACTTAAGCCATCATGTGAAGAAACAACACACACTGGTCAACAGTGCAGCTTACACTGCAATCAGCACGCACATTAAATAATGTACTGATGGGCTGAACTTTACTCAACTGTGCCTTCTCTCGTTTTTTTGAAGTTAAATCAAAGTAAGTAAAAGCCCAAATTGCATCAGCCAGTTAAACATCCTGCAGGTGTGAAACTTCAGTATGACTCAGCTGTGGCAACATATTCTGTGCTTTAAGGGTGCATGTGATACCCTCCAGGCCCAGAGAACTTTCTGCTGCTGCCAACGTCTTTCCCATCTTAAAGCCTCATGCCACAAGGAGAAATCGATCCTAACACACGCAGAAAAAACATAACAGGGAGGCGGTGCTGGGTCGATATAGACCCTGTTGCTAGGAAAATTAATGAGAGGTGTTTTAGTTGTGCTGAGAGAATCCTCGTGGGGCAGCTGTTATCGCAGCAGAGAGGAGAAACCCCTGAGGGCTTTCTGAACATCAACAAGCTGCATGTCTCTTATGCACACGTTTTTTCCCTCAAAACCTATCCAAAATGACAAATGTCCACCCTGAAACTGACCTGGTGAAAGCTGAATCAAGTTGAATGTTTTCACACATTTAGTGTCTTTCTTACTAGCTAGATAATGTCATAATAATGGTAGTAGTACATAATAAAATAAACTTTAAGTTGCGTTAGCTAAACAGCTCGGGGGGATTTTCAGTCGCAGGTTGTTGTGCATGCTCAAATTTTGCTGAATATTGTTTGAGGGATGAGAGGAAGGAAAATGGTTTGCATATCTGGGCTTTCTCAGTGTAAACAGTTTACATAATCCATCAGCAGTGCAAGACCAGCAGCACGAGATCCCATAGAAACACAGCAGCTCGCGGTCTAGCAAGAAATGACCAGGTCAGCATGGCACAGCCAAGAAAAACAAGTCCACTTTGTAAATGGCCAATAACGGGACCTGAGTGCAATTACTGTGTGGCCTCTCTCAGTGGAAGCTGAAATGTTAGATGAGGGTTAAATATCTCTGTTGTTGTTTGTCATAACTGGATGAAATATTGTTGGCACAGAGGTGAGCTTTTCTGGCCCCGTGTATTAAGTTCTTGATGGTTTTTCTCAGGCTGCACGTCTGACAAGCTATTGGGATTTCATGTTCAGCAGGCTCAGTTACCTTTATGTATCCGGATGCTAGTTTTCCTAATTGACACCTTCTGTCTCTGTTTCCTTGTAGCACTTGACATTGATGAGGCCCAGTCGCCCAACGAAAGAGGAGTGACCACTTCACCCTCCTTTTGTTGCACCGCATCCAGAGGCCAGTGAGGCTGAAGAGGGATCCCTTCAGCCCGCCTCATTTTGTAACCATTTCCTCTCTGAGTTGGTCCCAGAAGTGTTTCAAAACTGTTTCTCCAACGCTTTTTCCAGAAACTTAGACTGTTTTCCAAAGCAGAAGCAGCACAGCCCTCCCAGACTGAGGTGATGGGAAGCGTGCGAGCCAGCCGCTACAGCATTGTGTCATCAGAGGAGGACGGCATGAAGCTTGCCACAATGGCGGTACCCAACGGCAACAGCAAGGGCAAAGTGCACACGAGGCACCAGCCGCAGAGCAGATTTGTAAAGAAGGACGGTCACTGCAACGTGCAGTTCATCAACGTGAGCGAGAAGGGTCAGCGGTACTTGGCTGACATCTTTACCACGTGTGTGGACATCCGCTGGAGGTGGATGTTCATCATCTTCTGCCTGGCCTTCCTCCTGTCCTGGCTGTTCTTTGGCTGCGTCTTCTGGCTGGTGGCCATCTTTCACGGGGACTTAGAAAATAACGACCATCCATGTGTCTCCAATGTTAGCAGCTTCACTGGTGCCTTCCTGTTCTCCATTGAGACTCAAACGACCATCGGTTACGGCTTCAGATACGTAACGGAGGAGTGCCCGGTGGCTGTCTTTATGGTGGTGTTCCAGAGCATTGTGGGCTGCATCATTGACGCCTTCATCATCGGTGCAGTCATGGCAAAAATGGCAAAGCCCAAGAAGAGGAATGAAACACTGGTTTTCAGCCATAACGCTACAGTGGCCATGAGGGACAACAAGCTCTGTCTGATGTGGCGCGTGGGCAACTTAAGGAAGAGACACCTGGTCGAGGCACACGTGAGAGCCCAGCTTCTCAAATCCCGAACGACAGCGGAGGGAGAGTACATCCCCCTCGACCAGATGGACATCGATGTGGGCTTCGACAGCGGAGTCGACCGCATCTTCCTGGTCTCCCCGATCACCATTGTACACGAGATCGATGAGGACAGCCCTTTCTATGACATGAGCAAACAGGACCTGGAGAACTCGGAGTTTGAAATCGTAGTCATCTTGGAGGGCATGGTCGAGGCGACGGCGATGACCACACAGTGCCGAAGCTCCTACGTCGCCAGCGAGATCCTCTGGGGCCATCGCTTTGAGCCCGTGCTCTTCGAGGAAAAGAACTATTACAAGGTGGACTACTCCCGCTTCCATAAGACATACGAGGTGCCGAGCACCCCTCTGTGCTGCGCCAGAGACCTGGCAGAGAAAAAATTCATTCTCTCCAACTCCAACTCCTTCTGCTACGAAAACGAGATGGCTCTGGACAACAAAGAGGACACAGACGAGGGGAACGGGGGCAGCGTCGGCCCTGATGGCACTCAGACAGACAACATCTCAGAGAGCGAACACAACCAAGCCATGGTGCCTCTAGAGCCCCGGCCTCTGAGACGAGAGTCCGAAATATGACTGTTAAGACATCTCGTGAGAGATTTTCCGAGAGTCGCATCTCAGCTCTGAAAAGGCACTACGAGCCAAGCTGGGTTAGAGTTAGAGGCCAACCCAAACGGTACTGCTGTGGGAAGTGAGGTGTAAGACTTTGTCCCGATGAGTCTGCTTGAACTTTGCATACAGCATGACAAAACACAGCACTATGAACCATGTGCATATCGCAGAATGAATTCTCCATCAAGTCCCCATGAATGTGTGCTCAGTGTCCGGTGACTGCAGAGAGGACGGAGGCTATTGCAATGACTTGAAAACTGCAGGCATGTCTCAGTTGCTCTGTCCAGCGACAATAACGCTCTTTCAGAAAGGTGTTTTGTTTTTTTAAGTCCTCTAGTGCTGCTAGAAAAAGTGGAAGTTACACAAAAAACCCTTTAAAACACTTTCATTTTGACACTGTCACAGAACCAAAGAGTTAAGAAATCGGATGTCTGGAACAAAGAAGGTACACGTTGTTTGTTCATGAGCTGGCCTCATAGCAGACGTCACTGAATGCGCCTGCAATAACCTGCAGAGAACTTTCCTTTGACTCGATAGCACTGATTCTCTCAGCTTTGTGCTTTTGCAGAAAATGTTTGAGCTGGTCAGACTGATAGAAACATGCCTGCTTGCGTCAAGAGATCCGAGCAGGGTAGTATTAACGACATCAAACTGACAGAAATCATTAATTTAAACTGAGACTGGGGTAATACGAGAATCTGAATGTTCTTAAAAGTGCTGCTATGATGTTGCTTCTTCTTTTTTTTATGGCTGATAATGACTATGACAATGCCAAAGAGTATTATTATTATTATTTTTATTATTATAGTTATGTTTCTGAAAAAAAAACAATTAGATTTGGTACAGAAAAAGTAGAAAGTTTAGGCCGTTTAATGTAAGGTTTGTTTTTCAAGAACATGTGTACAGTTTCTTTTCTTTTCTTTCTTTTTTAAAATGTCGATTATCTGTATCTGGAGCCATGTCATCAAGCCGTAATCTGGACCCACAAAACGAAGAAGGCGGTCAGGTAGCGGTAAAAAAGCAACACTGACGAGTTCTTTCGATGGGCCAGATTTTTCAACTTAAACACAAGAGTTCATTTCAAGGCAAACCTTTATTTTTAAGGTTTGAAAATACGAGTCAGTGTATCGGTGTCAAGAAATCCAATACACTAAAATAAATTTTTTAAATAAATAAATATCAAGTCTCTACGTAAAGCCGGTTTCCCTTTGTGCTGAACTAGAAATCGGCCTCGACACCACTGGAGTTTTCATTCTCTGTTGTAACGCTTTTGTTTTACTTGAGAATGTAAGATTTCAAAGAAACAAAAGTACTGTAACTGCACAAGAGTTTGCATCAATACACGTTTATATCCTGTATCTTTTGTGACAGAAAGCCGCTGGGCTCAATAGGCAGATCCTGCACGTGTAAATACCTCCCTCCCTGTTGCAGTTGTTTTGTATCGGTCTTCCAAATGTACTGCAAAACCACAGAATGTACAGATTTTGTATTATTATTATTATTATTATTATTATAATATTGTACATGATATTATATTGTTCTTTTACAATAAAAAGTCAATCGGAATCAACTCGTGTTGCTGGTTTAAATATCTTCTAAAGGGGCAAAGACTATTTTGCATTAATTGTTGCAAATGCAAACACAATGTGAGCGAATTCAGAAGCATCAATTATTGCGGTACTGTAGAAGTTTAATTTCTGGAGGAAATTATAAAAAAATCTTCTTTTTTTTAATATATATATATATTTTTATTAGTTTTTCTGTTTTCACAAATAGTACATAATTACATAACATAATAAAGTGTACAATTCAGAACCAAAAATATATAAATAAATAAAAAACAAACAAAAAACTAAAACAAATAAACAAAACAAAAACAATCAGTTCCATCTAAAAAATAAATAAATAAATAAAGAGAGAATACAATACAGTACAATACCTGTGGTCCCTGTAGTGCGTTGCAGTTTGAACCCTCAAGAGAATCCTTGTAACATAATATTAGAAACATCAGGTTCCACATAATTCAAGTATGGTTCCCACACCTTAAAGAATTGAACTGTTTTTGAGTGCAGTATACATGTAAGATATTCCAATGGCACTAGATCCAACACTACTCTTTGCCAACCTTTAATAGTTGGTGCTTTTTCATAAATCCATTGGAGTAGTATATTCTTCCTCGCAGCATAGGTGAGAACACAATCTCCTATTATTCTTGGATATTTATCGCCGGCAGGGGAGGCCCAGTATAAGAGACAGAGGGTCCATCTCCAATTCACAACCAAAAATCTCCATTTCAGATAACACATTAGACCAATATTCTTGCAATTTCAAACATGAGCAGAAGCTGTGAGTTAGGGTACCAATTTCTGTCTTACATTTGAGGCACATGGGTAAAAGGGTAGGATTATATTGATGTCTGCGAAATATGGATATATGCATTCTGTGTACGAAAAATCTTATTTTGAGCAAAAGTCTGTAAAATTTCTCAGCATCTTTTGACAGTTTTTATTCATTTTGGCAAAAAAAGACATAAACGCCCAACTAAAAAGCCTAAAAAGTGCCCCGAGGCTTTTTAAGCAGTGAGAATGGCTTCAAGAAGGACTTTGGTTTATCTCAGGCAGGATGTTTGGTTTCAAAGTGCGTCGATAGCCGGGTTGGCACCATGTTAGCATCAGTCAACTACCCCTAACAGACTTCCGTCACTGGTTCAGCTGAAGATCATAAAATGCCTATTGTCTACTGGAATGAGCTCGTAAAGAACTGATAGAGTAAATCAACATTTCATTCAGAAATGTTTGTGCCCCTGTGTAATAATGTCTTCATGTCTTCTATAATAATGCATGGCAGGGTTAATAGCTGCAGGCAGTCAGTGCAATTAGCTTTCACATCAACCTGCTTTTTTAGTTAGTAAGTCACTTTTTAAATATTATGCATTTATCTATTCATCTATTTACATTCTACCAATGAGACTTAAAGACTAACTTAAGGAAACGGGAAGGGAAAATGGATCATTATCAGCATAATTAAACCCAGATCCACAGTCTCTTATTCGTGGATTCATCTAATTTAGTTTGTTTCCTCTTAAATTTTTAAGATTAACGGTGCGATTCATAAAGTAGCACAACCCAAAGCTTAACAAATGTGTGACTCTCAGCGATCGTGCTGGCAGTCGTGGCTGTGACGCTAACCAGCCACCTTGTCCTGCTTCCCACCAGCCCAAGAGGGATTAACACCTTCTTTTTCCTCTCTTGCTTCTGCATACTTGGGACTCATCCATCCCTCATCCTGCCTTCCATCACTTTCTCTCATCTGTCTTTGTCCTTTGTGTAACATCTGTTCTCTCGCTCTCTCTTCTTTCTTTTATTCATTATGAGTCATCATGAATTCAGCTCAGAATCATGGAATAAAGTCTTTAACAAGTTTGCCTCTCGGTCAAACTTTTCAGACACTTTTCTGTTTACATTTTTACTTTGCTCATTTACCAACATCATTTAACGGCTTAAATTTGTATAGATGGATCCAAAAAAGCCCCAAAATATTGTATTTCTTTTGTAAAAAGTGCCAAAGAACAATCATATTTACACTAAATGTTCATCCATCCATTTTCTGCCACTTATCCAGGTCGGTCACACGGTGGGAAGCAGTCTAAGTGGACTGAATGTACCCACTAAACCAGTGGCCCCCACCCCCTCCTGGCTGTGCCAAGAAATTCTGACCACAAACGCTATGAACAGAATCGGTGACAAAGGGCAGCCTGACAGAGTCCAACCACAAGCTTGACATCCTGCCAGCGATGTGGACCAAATCTCTTACTACGATTAAAGAGGGTCTGAATGTCCCGCACCAACACGCCATTCATTCTGGATCGGGCATGGCCGCCTCTGTCGTGAGCAGGTGTGGCTCAGGATGTCGAGCTGCTGTCGGCCCCTAAAGCTTTATTTGCTGCGCGAGTTTACATGAGATATAATCGAGTTTGTGTTTTATCGTTTTAAAAGCGCTTTGAGGTCTCAGTAAGAGTAGGAAACCGCTACAAGCCGAAGATGTGGGCACCTTACCATTTGTTGTCCAATCAGATGTCTCCCTGATGTTGTTGCATGATGGATAAGAATCTGAAACACTGCACATTTCACATTTGTGTTCAGAGCTGATGAGAAGCATTTAATTGTTCTTAGAAAGCAAATAAAGAGGAAACATTATTCCCATGCTTTGCCTCAGCTTCTACAACCTTCGCTGGTTTTATTTAACAGCGCAGACATGGAAAAAAAAAGCTGGAACTCACCCCGAGTCAATGGAAAATTCCTTTACTGCTAAGGAAGACTGACACGAATGTCAACTTGTGGAGTCAGTACTATAGTCGGTGTCGCTGTGTGCTCCATTCATCTTACATAAAGCAGCTACGCTATCTGATTCATCTCAATCACATCGAGAGGGGCAGGCAGAGAAAATGAGTCAGAGGTCTTTTAGTCGCTTATTAAAATCAGGATCTGTGTTTCATATTTCCTCCACGAGACATCATTTTAAATGGAATTTCATGCTTTGATCCACAGCAGACAACACAAAGAGGAAAAGATTAAAATAAAAAGTGTATACAAGTCCAGAAATCCTCCTCATTTATGCGTTTTGTTTTGGGTTTCTCTGAACACAGAACTTGGCACCGGTTTACCCCTGAAGGGCGACACTGGTGGGAAAGTAAGGAGTTACTTTCCGGTCACACCGTTTCATATTGCATTTATTTATTGGATTATTAATTTAAAGTTGTGACCAGGAAAGCCACATTGAGGCTTACTTCCTGCCCGAAAGGAAGAATAGTGGCACATTGTTGAGCGCTCTTACTGCTGTAGGTGCTCTCACTTCTGTGTTTCTATTGTGCGGCTCTACTCGCGCCCTGTTTATGAAAACAATAACACTGTGTATCAGTGGAGTAAACATCCAAAGGTAAATGTTAGGCCAAACTCTATTATTCCCGTGTAAACGCCTGAGATATCAAATATCCAAACAGTTTACTTTTTATCACTATTTATTTGTGTTTTATACATCACGCTCAGCAGCTCGTTGAGCCCCGTTCAAACTCTCAGAGCTACGACCGTAATCTGGAAACAACAATGCAGGAGTAAAAAGCTTGGACCTGCAACACAAACACAATCTGTGCTCCTGAACTATAACCGGAACCTCTGGCTTTTATCGAAGCTTCTGGGAACCTGACGTTCAAACAGCCCCAGCTGTTGCCCAGACCTGTGATCCTCGCTGTGTTTTGTCTTTAGCCCAACCAGAGTCTTCCTGCTTCACACGGACCCCCGCCTGGTCAGACACAAAACCTCCATCGCTTAAGGTGGAGGGCTCGGAGCAGCTCAGATGCTCCACGGCGGGAACGACCGAGGTCTTAGGTCAATTAAGACTTCTCGACCTTTCTAGTGGAGTGTCTGAGTCATGACCCATTTGGACCGAGTGGAAATTCTGGCTTCCTGTTGCCGAATCGCAATGTCGCTCGTAACGACATTATCGGTGCCTGCTTCGTGCGGTCGGCTTGAAAAATGGTTTTCCTCCCGTGTACGTAATACTTTCCAAAACAATGGAAGTGAGAGCTGAAGAGCTGTAATAACGGGAGAACGGATACAATCAACTGAAGGGTGTAAAGCCGTGCTCATACTTGGCCAGTACTCACTGATACAGAGCATGTTAGGAAAAAGCTGCTGGAGGAGGAATCGAATGGCAGCGTTAAATCAAACATTCAGCCGAATCTGAGGCTCCATTCAGCTTTACAGCGAAGTGGCGCCCATTGTTTAACTGCTGGGCAGCGGCAAACGGCACCAGGGAGTAGCTGGTGAGCTAATTAAAGCATGTAGGAAGTGGTAAAAATACGTGGTAGTGTTTGAGAACAAGCTCTGCAGACTGATTTGACAGAGAGACACATAGAATAAATAATAAGTCTATGATTAAAATCCTAAATCTGCAGAGAGCTGTAGTGCAGGCCAATAGTTGCCTCATCAAACAAGTGCCAATCTGCCCATCTATTATCAGAAAGCCTCTGAAACTTATCCCAGGTGAAATAGCACGAGAAGTTTTTTTTCCACCTATCCAATTCAGGGACACAGAGAGGCGAAAGGCGAAGTACGCCCTGGACAGGTCACCAGTCGATTGGCTGTCATTCATGTTTTCGGGTAAACACTAAAAGACAGCATATCAGCAAAAACATGGTGGTGGAGGGGTGCACTCACTGAGACTACGTCCACACTAGCCCGGATTGTTTGAAAACAAATCCACACCATCGTTTTCCGTTGTTTTCAGAGTTGCGCGTCCACATTGAAACGGCCCAAAACGCTTACGTTCCAGTCCTGCGCATGCGTGAAACGCAAGAAGATTCGGCCTGCCTCGTTTCTGTCTGCCGCTTATTTACTTACCGACTCTTTGAAACGTTGCGGCAAAAGGTCGAGGAAAAGCAGCGAGTTTTTTAAACGGACTAACAATGAGGTGGAGTTGTTGCTGCGAGTAACACAAAAATACAAAGTTGCAAAAGCGAGTGAAACTTAAAAAAATGTGAAGAAAAGCTACCT